TTTTTTGCCTTATTTAGTTCACTGGTTATTATATTGTATATTTCTCTTTGTTATTAGTTGGATTTGCATTAGCCGAAAGAGGTTCTTTGCGTGTTATTTTTTTCAGAACTCGTGTTATCTAGAAGGCAGCAGTCGCTTAACGCAGACTTTCCCTTAGCAATAATTGCATTCTTTAGTGCTAACCATGATTGTTTAACAACATTTTACTCGTATATTTATTTCCCTCTTCCGTCAGTTAAATTAGAATTCTGTTGGTCGGAAGGACATTCCGGAAAGAAATTAGGCAATGCAAGGAGAGAAAGAGTTTAGATGCCGAGTCCCTCGTCGCAGCCAAGTCAGTTTATTTATTTTTTTTTTTTGCATATAAAATTCTTCTATTTGAGAATGTTTATATATTTTTCTTTTATTTGAGAATTTTCTGAAAAATGTGATATATTTTATGTTGACAAAATACTTATACAGTGTCAAGTCCAGATGAGAAATTCAGATCCTTTGTCTTAATAAAGTCGCGGTACTAAAAGAGTTAATGATTTAAAGAAAAAAAGAATCGTATCTTCTGCCTTGTTTCGCATATTTTATTTCTTACCTCACGTTTGCTCTTCTTTCTTTCATCGCTCGCTACTTTTAAGAAAGCTTTCTATGTTAATTTACGGATGCAAACATCGCCATGACATGTGGTGATACATTGCGCAAATTTAGAAATTTAAATTAATTATCTCGGTTTACTTCTAGAGGGAGTATTCCGTGTCGCTATTTTTAACACGGAAAGAGTTTTCCTTGCATATTCTGTATAGGAAGTAACACCGATATACATTGATTTTACTGCATGAAATAGTCCAAGGTAGAGATAATAATTCGAAACATTATCACTTCAGCATTAATGATGCGCATACCTAAATAGCTTTATATTAACATTTAATGTAATAATTATATTTGTAAAGAGAAATATATGTACCTACTTACATAATTACTTGATTACAAGACGTGTCTGTTGAGATGTTAATCTAATTTGAGCTATTTTGTTAATTTTGGAGAATTATACCGACGGAATCATTCAATATGAATGAAACAAAACTAAAAAGACCTTTTTTATTCGCAATATCATTCTTTGTATTTAATTTCCAATTTTTGTTCTCTCAGTCCTCGTATAGTTAAATACGAAACGAAAATTGCTTTGCGTTACATCAAAAGAGAACACCGAGGCACAATTTCTATGCACGCATGTTTCTCGCGCAGTCATGTTACATCTGTTTTATTCAAGCATTTCTTTTATTAATCATCATATTATCGTCGCATAATTTGTTGTTTCCGCCGCGCGTAGAATTTGCGATCGTTTTGTGTTTTGCGTCCGTGACGCAACAGCAACGCAACAGCAACGCAACAGCAACGCAACAACAACGCTACAACAATGCAACAACAACGCAACAACAACGCAATACTGTTCCATTTATCAAATTCAATTCAATTCAATATTAAATTTGTTTATTAAATTCAACGTATATGTTTGTTAAAGTTTATTCTTTTCTATTACGTCAGTATTGATATATGTGATATTCCAGACTGGACTAATCGAAGCATCGATACTTAATAAAATTTAAGCTGATAGAGACTGACATGCACCCGAAGGGAATGACGCGCAGCGTAAGAGCAGTAGCGTGACATTAAATAATCGTCGTCGTCGTGCTTCAGCGGTATAATCTCGTAAAGAGCACGTGAGCGGAAAAGCTACCCGCTATGAGAGGGGTTGGAAAAGTGGCGGTGGCGACGGCGACGGCGACGGCGACGGCGACGGCGATGGCGGCGACGGCGACGGCGACGGCGACGGCGATGGCGATGGCGATGGCGACAGCGACAGCGACAGCGACGGCGACGGCGACAGCGACGGCGACAGCGACTATGTGCACCAACAGCGCACTAGCTGGTGGCACAATCTCCGGTAATGATTGGTCGTCATGGAAACGAGCCAAGCACCCGCCTCGCCCTTTTTCCTCCGGGCAGACCGAGCGGCGTGGTCGTCGCGACGCAGAGCGTCGCGTCGCATCGCGTCGCATCGTTGGATGCAACACGGCACTGCCGCCCGCAGGACTAGTGCCGATCTCAAGGGTATCTTCGGGTATTCTGCGGCAAGGTTAATTTTTTCGCTACGAAAGATCCATATATAAAATTTTTAATTCGGGATTTTTTGTTTGCTCTTTTTTCATACAGATATTTATTCTTTTTATTATATTACTTATATCTATTGACGTCATATTAAACTATTGTATGTAATCAGTAATATATTATTGACATTTAATACATTTAAAACGAAAACGTTTGATGACTTAAAGACCTGGCATTTATTACATTTTATTATACACTCATCTCTTCATGTATGTATAAGAGATACTCTTATATTGATACATTCATTAATAAAAATTTCCATACGTATGTAAATTTACAGCTGGCAGGTAAAATTAATTTCTACTGTTGTAATAAAGTAAAATTAAAGATTCCACAAGAAACTGTAAAGCGCGTAGGAAATCATTGAACAATACTGTCTTGTGAAAGGAATTACAATCGTTCTTGTAAAACCCAATGTGATTTAAAATCGTGGCTTTTGCTGCGCACAGAAAACTCAAGTTTAGTCCGAGTTCGTAATGCTTAACGATTTACATGCGAGAAGGAATCGACACGGCAATAAATTCTATCAATTATCCATGGTAATCATTCAATCATTATCAAGGGCGACACTCCAAGTTTCGCGATTCTATCTTGGTAACTGCATTGTTCCATCGAAATAGATTGCGGTTGAGCTATCAGTCGTCAGTTAATTAATCCTTACTTGATCCAAAGCCAATTACATGGTATGCCGTCGATTGTTTCTTTTTATTTATCTTCTCTTCACTTTGTATATACATATACAATGCGAGAGTATTCTTTGATCGATAAGTTTACGTTTACGATAAGTTGATCGATAGTTTTACATTGAATTAGGCACAAGATAATAATAAATATATACGCGGGGAAGTCCAAATGATGTGTTATAGAGTAAAATGTGCCATGTGCATATGGCATACGAATGTGCAAAGTATCACGTGTAAATATTACAAGATGATGACTATATTGTGATAAATTATACATTACTTTCAAAGTAGATACATCGCTATGAATATATTTCATTTAGTTAGAAACAACTTAATTCGTAATATTAGAATATTTTTTACATTCTGTTAATTTTTTTCGTATCCTTGAATCTTTTCAAGCTCTTCGATTCTTTGAGCTTTAAATGCTTTTCGAGCAATTTGCATTTTGCTATTCTCGACAGGACGAAATCTCTTTTACGGTCTTTTTCTGATTTTCACTGATGAAGAAATACTCTTCGGCGACAGACGACTGTCCACGAATAATATAATAGTAGATTTTCGCACAAATTTCGAATCTATAGACATTATTCGCAACTTGCGCGCTTGCGGAGAAGCGGCAATTTAGGTCTCTCGGCGAATGCTCGTTCAATGAGCAATCTGTAGTCGCTAATCTGCCGCCTTGATCGACGGCGCTACAGAACGCTCGTGGAAACTTCAGCAGGCCAAAGTTTCGCCGGCGTCGTGCACGCGGTTTTCAATACATAGCCGATATACGCCGCGGTGTGTGTTGCGCGGAGTGGGTAATCGAGAAAGTTTCGTTTCCGGGTAGCTAGAGATGCCATATATATGCGACTATGAATTCTGCGGAAGGCTCATACTTGCAGTCTCTCGGACTTGAAGTGTAATCGCCAGTTTGTTATCAAGTCAGCTTTTTATCTTGCTTTTGACAAATATATTTCTAACGTCATCAGCGTGTAATCGCAATCGTTACGAATTTAAGGTGGTATTTGTAAGGTGGTTGAGGTGTACAGCGAATTGTAGAATCTCAATGTTGCCAGGTTATGACATTGTTATTAGGATTTCTTGCAAATTACAAAATCGATCGATATTATTATAGTCGATATTATTATTAATATTAAATCTCGATGCAAACCATTTGTCTTTTGGCTAAAATTGTCGTCTTCTTAATGTAAAAACCTAATTTTGCAACGTTATTTTTATCAAAATTCTTTGTTGATATGATGAGAATATTTATGGTATATAAGATATTGCAAAATATTGCCAAAATTTGTAAAAAAATATATTATTTACGAGATTAAAATAAAAAAACAATGTAATATAGATGTAGTGATTTCACCACTTAACGAAAACTCTATGGTCAGAATTATCTACAATACATAAATATTAGTGTTGATACGATACAGATGATTAAAGACAAATCTTTTGTGGTACATCTGTGGTACGTCTGTGGTGAATCACAGAGCGCGAATCTGTTAATTCGAGAGCAGTCTAATGTTTGATGACAAGGGTTAGATTAATTGGATTACCTATTTCATTCAGTGAAATGTTAATGTGTAATGGTAGTTTAATATTGAATATCAAACGCGTTTGTGTCGATACAAACACAATTACAATATCGATAATAACTGTTAATTACTGAATTTGATTCAACTAGTTCCACCATTAATGCGGATAGATGCAGACGCATTAATTGTTTAATGTATTTTCATCATTTTTACAATAGTTTTACAAATACATGTAGACTCGAGGACTTTTTCTCACGACCCTTCTTCTGCAAAACATGTGAAAAATGAATTTATTTCATTGTTCGCACGTTTTCTTTTCATCAACTAAACTTTGTCAAAGTATGCGACTTGATGTATTTTGCAATTGCTAATACAACATGTAATTGCATTTAAATTTCTGGATTCTCTCTATTTTCGGATATTCACAGCTTTTATGATAGTTTCGATACAATAAATTAGCGAGAACCCGTACCTCTCTTATTTGTTATACAGGATATTGCGCTTTATGATCCATATATCTCGAATTATGTCAAGCGTAGGCCTGTACATTTGCGCACATAGTATTATTCCGCTGAAGAACAATCATGTTGCAACTCAAATAACGGGATGTTTGTTCTTGCGACTGTTTCAGAGGTGCCTTCTCCGTGGTTCGACGATGCGTACAAAAGAGCACCGGTCACGAGTTTGCTGCAAAAATCATCAACACCAAAAAGCTGTCGAACAGAGGTAAGTAGAGTAGTCACGTGTAAGCACTCAAGTGTTGAATTATCGATCGGATTTTATTCGCGATCGAATATTTACGTCGGTTTGAATTCGGTATATTATCGTGTGAACGAGGATTCTCCCAATCCAGTAAGCTACATTTGTTTTTAAGAAACTGTTTTGTTTTGCTTCGCCAACTACATCGGCTGTGCTAATTGCCGAATAATTTAATGCTTCACAATATACACAATTATCGTGAAATTTACTTCAGCGGCAACGTTTGGAACGTATATCGAGTTAATATGTGATGCAGAGAGATGGAAAGGGGAGATAGAGATACGTGTAGATACTTTGAGATTACACGTGTTTATAGTGGTTCGCGCATATCTATACATAATATTACGTAATATATGTTAGACGCGGGGTATTAAACTTTGGGGTATGTAATTTCAAAGTTGGTTGTTTGTCTGAGGCACGCGAGCTATACGCAGCATGCACTGGAAATATTAATAAGCGAATAAATCCACGAATCCTTCTAGAATCGATAAATCATTATCATTGGATAACCCGAACGCCCGAACGCCTCGCGCATTCGACAGTTAACTACCTGTTGTAATCGCAAATCGCGTGTGTACAAAATACTACCTGTCAGAGGATAGATAGTAGATATGCTACAAAACAAATATCCTCTATTGCTAGATGCAATTACCTATAACAGAAGACGGAGAAAGATTTTTCTCGTGAATATTAATTTAATATTTAGAAATTTTACTGAAAACTTCTTTTTCTCAATGTACTTTACTTAATTTAAATGTGCAAAAGTTTATGCGACAATTACGGTGTCTGCTATTATTAAGGCATTGTAATCGCAAAAATGCATTACATTAACTGTCAGTGGACATGAAATTACGCAGACGATTGTCGATGAAATTAAGCTTCAAGTGAAAAAATTTCCACGGTTCAAATGTGCTCACGTTCAGGTGCGTTTCAAGCTCGAGTCTGAAGTACTATTCAAGAGAGATGGAGAGAGGGGGGATGGGGAGGGAGGGAGAGAGAGAGAAAGAGGGGAAAAAAAGAAAGAAAAAGAATATAATCGTTCAGGGTGACGAGTGTAAAGACCGTTTGCCGCTTTCATTGACATGACGTAAATATATTTGTAGCAAAGACGCGCTAGATCGAATTACTATAAAATTATCATTGTGGGGCGTAATATTTAGTGTATTATTTTATTTTATCTGAAATCCTGATCCTTATTGCGATCTCTTTTGGAATTCAACTGCACTCGTGCTGCGTGCAGTAGAGGAAACAGTGTTTTGAACCATTAAATGTGGAAGTGGGGGAGGAAGCGCGCGACATCACGATGCCATACGCGTGATGTAATCGAGTAAAGTGAATTCAATCTCTTTCTTTTGTCTTTTTACACGCAACTTTGCCCGCCACTCGACGAATTAGTTAGTGTCTTGCGTCCTGAATATGCGATGTTCGAGTACGTTTCTTCTTTAATTATTTCCGTTTATCTAAGGAAACCTTTTTGTGATAGCTGTTTTACTAATATTTCCATTTTTTATAGAAATTTATCGAAAATTTAGAGATCAATTCAATGATAATGCAAAAAATTAAGTCTATATATATAAACAAATAATAAATAATATTCTTAGCTTCACAAAATTATAGAACCTGCATCTAAATGCAATTTTATTACAAAGCAAGATATAACATGTAAATCTAGTGGGAATATTCGTAAAATGAGAACACGTGACCATTGAAAATAATTACGCGTAACAATTTGGATCGAACAGTTAATGCGCGCAATATTGTTTTGATTACTCGATTGAACCATCGAATACGGCGCAACGATCCAAACGATACCTAACACGTTATTCTAATTTGAATACAACGCAGATGCGGTTAGCGTTTCATATACATGTAAACGCATTGCGGTTGACCGCCGCAAAAGAAATTTCGTCGAGCGGACGTAATGTAATATTCACAATTGGTGAAATAATGAGACAATAATGATACGTTGACCAAATAATCGCGCCGTGTTATAAACAATGGAAAGTGCGACTAATTCTTTACATTAAATCTCGTGTGAATGAAATCATGCTTATTAAAAAGGTTGTGTAACAATTGGAAAAGCTCAGCAAAAGTATAGGACTATTTCGTAACTTTTTGTATTTTAATAATAAAACTTTTCATCTTTCAATGGGAAAATAGTTCCGTTCTTTGACGGAAACATGATAATATGCATTCTCAGATTTATAATATAACAGAGTTTTTTTATTTATTTTAATTGGTAGAGAGAGATGATTTTTTGTAGAACAAATTATTTGAATTTAATCAGTGGAAAATTTTTAGAAAGATATGACTTCTGTGATAGTACTAATTGTTTCTGAACTCAAGGCTATTCATTTTAAAGCGGCACTTGAAACTCCCGATTAAACGACACGACCATATCTTTAGAATTCCGGATGTCGATAAGCATCCTCGAGGGGCGTGTGCCACATTTGAAATTGGAAGGGCAAAAATTTTCGCAGAAAATGAAAGCAAAAGAAACAAAAAAAAGGGAATGGAGACGTTAAAGAACAATTTAAACGACTTTCTGATCTATCCAGGCGAATTTTGCTGGCTTCGTTTCTCCGCCGAGTACCCTTCGTACTTTAAGTATTTTTTTTTTTCGGAAGTTATTTTTGTAAGCGTTTTTAAATAACTCATAAATTTGGATAATTTAATCGGAATGATTTGCATCAAGTATATTGCGGTGATATATAAGGCTTGTATATCAGTTTTCATATACGACAGATGTTTGTCGATATTGCTGCAAAATTATTTTTATCTTTAACTTTTTATTTTTATTCACATTTGCCTGTAAGACATTGAAGTGAGAAAACGGTGTCTCAATCATATTTTTATCACTAATATATTTCACGCTTTTACGACTAAAGTGACGGCGGAACTTTTGTGATGCGCATAGAATTGTAACGGCATATTGTCCTTGATGGATTTTTCTGAAGCGGACTACATCGTTTGATCAAGATTCAATTCTGTGCACAAGTAAGCATTGGGCGGGGAGGGCATCGACAAAAAGGAGGTCTGCATCTCATCTTCACCACCGAGCGACTTGCAAGCACTTGGAATTGCATAATTTCCTTTGCAAAGCCAGCATACCCGTTTCCGTTCTTCGTTTCCTCCCCCTCCCCTCCCCCCATCTCTCTCTCATTCAATTTATAGCCATTTTCTGCGGGCACGATGCGGCGAGATAAATCTATCTTTGGCAGTGGCTTTGGCGCCGAGGCGCAAGGCGAGGGTAAAAGGTAAAAGATGACAGAGTGAAAGAGGAAGAAATCTTTCTATATTTTCTCTCTCTCTCGTTCATCTCTCTCCCTCCTTCTCTTTCCCCGTTCTTGCTCTCTCACTTTCTTCAATAAGAATTGTTTTCTCGTGCGGTTGAGCTCAGATGACGACCTTGCTCCAATGACCTCTTGACCTAATGAAGGCCACGACCTCCGCAATATGGCGTATGCGCCTCGCGCAACGGATAAAACTCGTGCCTAGAGAACGGCGAGGAGAGAGAGAGAGAGAGAGAGAGAAATAATAAGCTGCGCGAACCAATCGTTATGAGAGCAAGGGAAATTCCTCGATTTTCTCACAATTTGACTCGCTTGATTGTCTTCCATCATTTCAAGTTTCGAGACTACGCGGCTGATTGTATGATCGTTATACTTCCTTGCAGTTTCGCTGGGAAATAGAATTTCTTTTGCATTTATCAGGACGCGCGTTGCGATGCACATATGTGACCGCTTTTCATACATTGAAATTATTCAAATATAATCCCGAGAAAGCGCAAAAGGTCATTTGTTCGTTCGTTTCAGCACATCATTCTTGCAATGATAACCGATGCAATCGATGCTGAATTAATTGGTATGTGCAAATTGATGCAATCTCGATCGAATACAGAAAGAATGGTGGCTGATTAAAAATACACGATCCCAACGGTAATAATCTGTAACAAACTGCGAATAACAATCTACCGTTTATTTTATATTATTATCCGTTTCTCATCGTGTTTATTTAGATTTATTCGATACAATTCCGTATACGATGTAACTATTTTTTTCTTCTCTTTAGTCGTTAGTTTCAGATTGACTAGTAGTAATTTATCATAGAATGCAAAAATACGTCTTTACAGAAAAAAGAAACGAATGGAACCGACACAGAAATTGTACCGGTAATTTATGAGAATGATAGAAAAACGTGCGAGGAGAACTTGATATTACACAAAGTAAAGTAAAGTAGTTAGAAACAATCGAAGCTAGAACTATAGATTGTATTCGAGTTAGAGTTAGATGCATCGTTATACGAATCTGCAAGCCTGCAAGAACAAAACTCGTGAGCATTTTATTATTATTCGCGAATAGAACTGATAAATCGTTCGAGCCTTCTTTTTCCGATTCCGAAGTTATTGTATCGAAAGATGTCGCTTGAAGCTTGTGCGAGTAACGGGGAATTGGTTGCTTTTGGCGCAACGAATAATTAATCAAGCGGCATGATCCAAATTTCGTCGACGATGCGCCATTATTTGAATTTCTAATTTGCGGCTTTGGATCACAAAGACGCAATCGTGAGGAGGCTGTCCGTGTTGCATGCTGACATACGCGCACACCGGCATTTGTTACGTTTCTACTTTTCATCTCCAATTTGATCTCTCTTTGTCTGTCTTTTGAAACTTTTCCTCTCAATTGATTTTATGTGTGAGGGATATGTTAGAGAAACTCGTACAAATCAACATTTGTATTTCTAACTGATATTCCATGTAGCCTCCTTACTTACTTTTTCTTTATGAAATTTTGTTTCGAAAATATGTTATTTTTTCAAAGTCGCCCATGTATTCACTATTAATAGATTTTTTCGCTGAAACATCCTGTTTAACGAAACGCGTATTTGAAATGCTTATTTGTCGTGTGTTAATGAGAAAGGGCGCAGCATTTTTCTCGCGATGCCTATTACGGGATATGCCTTCATTGCCGTTCGGGTCGAGAGAGAAAAAATGCATCATCACTCCAATAACCTTATCACGCACGATAGATCAAGGGTGTCCCGCACTTTCTCTATAGTGGCGAGTCGCTTCGCGATCGGCTTGCATAAGCGAACCGCGACGGACAGCGATTTTCATTACTGACGCTTTCGTGACATTCGTGCTCCATCGGTTGGGAAGTATGCACGTCGGACGGATGCTTCTCAAGGATCGGCCTTGCGGCGGAAAAGATAAACCTTTTAACGATGCAAAAGTGTGGGGCATTACAGAGCGTATCTACATAAAACGCGTGATTATCGTAAAATTCCTATTAAATTGCAAAACTGATAGCGCTACTTTGACAAAGATGCGAATCGTGTAACATAAACTTTTATTTTACAATTTGATCGTAAGATATTAAGCATTTTTAATCAGAAGACAAACGAAAATTGTAGCAATAATCAACATTTGCGTATGATGCATAGTTATTACTATTTTATTGCGATAATTTGGCAAATGTTGTAAAGACTATTAATATAATTAATTTTCTTACATATCCCTTTGTCTAGGGATATTCAATAAGCTTAGTTTTGTAGAATCTCGATAGGTCAAGTTTCTAAATTTTTCCGAGGCATTTAATGCCGATCGAGGATAGATGAAGGGAGGGAATAAAGCAAGCAATCGCGGGCAAAGAGAAACGTATGACAGATGCGTGAAAGATGTAGCACGCGAGTGTCAAATATGTGTGCCGTGTATTATTTCTGCTACATTTATTACAAGGAATAGCGTTCTTGTCCTATTAAATTGCGTTTCTTTTTTCACTGATGGATGTAATTAATGAACACTTTTCTTTTTTACGTGGTCACCACGTAGATGCACGCGCATACATTTGAGATACCGCATACACAGTGCACTATAATGAGATAAAAATAAATAAATAAATACATTTTTCTAACGAACTTATTTGCTGCGTAACCTGCTGGAAATGATCCCCACACATACGAGAATGTGTGTATGTGTGTGTGTGTACAATGTGTGTATGCGCATCGTGCAACCTTCCTCTCGTATTTTTATCTCTCTTTATAGATACATATTTTTATGGATCGCGTTAATTATCGGGTGAGTGAAGGTGATCGCAAGGACTATTATTCAGACACGTTTCTATCGATTAACAGATTGCCGTTTGTTGAATACTAATATGATAAATAATTTATTTGAGAAAGAAAGCGAATTTTCACGATTCCTACGTTTAATCGAGATGATGAATCGGTTCTTAACGTTTCACCGCGAATTGAAATTGATGCTGTCGATATATGCAGAGAACTTTTTACATTTTTGTTATGCGACTCGATTTTTTGCGAGATACTACGCTTCGAGTCTAAGACTCTGTTACAAGTAACAGTTTTGACAAAAGTCAGAAAAAGGCTAAATAGGCGAAAGAAAAAATTACAGCAACAGATTTTGCACAAGCTCGGCTTTGTTTGCACAGAGCACAAATGGGTATTATTATAATACTCCGCGTGCGAATATGCATGAGAGAAAATAAGACGCAAGTGAAATCTTGATCACAATGACATGTTTGAGATAATCACTGTCGCGAACGTTGCTCTGTACGTTTCTGATTTGTTTGGGTGTAATTGAGTTGCAACTTACGCCTACACCGTCAAATGCAACGTTACGTCATTCCACTCAAGCCTGAAACATTGCCATCGATCAATTTGTGTATCTTGTTGCGTATTACGCTTTCGCGAGCACGTTTCCTAGCAGCATTTGTCTGCATGACATCCAAGGAATTATTATCTTTTTATATGTATAATTAAATTATGATGTGTGAATAATGCGGAAAACAATTTGCGATTATATATTGCGAAAAATTATGAAAACCAAAATTTTTTCTGTGTGAAAATAATTTTTCTACTGCAAGTCATCTATTGACCATGCAGATACATTAAGAAAAATTTTTCTTCTTTGATTTGTGTTAATTTATTTAAAGCAGTAATTTTAAAATTATATTGTCGCATGGGAAGATGGATAAATTAGATCTCTTATATAATAAAATATAAAACCGAGATCATATTGATAATCTTACATTGACTCGGTATGCGTACAATTCATATTTTAATCTATTAAGTAGTTAAAGAGCCATTTAAACGATTCCACTTGATATCATTTGGCGTACAATATAATTAATGCGTTCGCTCGCAGCTGGTCGGCCGCGTAAAGATTATATATAAAATAAATTCACAATAAAATAACAACAAAACGAGACGTCTTGCACGTTCTCGCAATTTACGATCAGCTTAATAAACTTATGAGCGACTGCTGCCACAGAATTTTCAAGTATCGATCGTGTCAATATTAACATCGGTCAACATTTTGATTATATTCATAATATTACTTATAGCGAAATATGATTTGGAATTAGAAAAAGGATACCTATCATGCCGATATAAAAACACAAACTTTTTCATATGCAAAAATTTAACCGGTATTGCAAAAGATATCTGATTTTTGTACTAACTTTAGCGAATATATATCACAATAATAATCTATTTGTTAGAAGGAAAAACAAAAGGAATTATGTATTTGAAGTTGAAACTTAAAAAGCGCGAGATAATGAAGAAAAACTTTATTTTTCTACTTTTTTCGCTACTGCGATATTCATTGTCAGGATCGTCCCGAGCTATTTTCATCAAATGGCCATCAAATATTAATCGAAAATCGATTGTCGATTTCGCGCGCGCGCAACACACACAGGCACAGAATATACGTAAGAAAGAGTAACGGGAAATAATTCTTAAAATGACTCTGCCGTTGGTAAATGCAATTTTCTCGTGCCTCTTAATGAATTAGCTTCGAGAAAATTCTGAGAGACTTTATAGTAAAATTCGATTTTATAATAATATCGATCGATCGAACGTTTGAATCGTAAACACGCGTAATTAACATTGCATAATTATATGTAATTGGTAAACTCTCTCTCTCTCTCTCTCTCTCTCTCTCTCTTTCACGGTTGTAAAAACGTAACCAATTATTAAAAGAAGCAATAGGTCATTTCATATATTTACATATATTATTTAATTTCAAATTATGTTTATTGATTACTTTTAAATTATGATATACTGCATAGATGAATGCATATATGTATATGTATGTATATTTGACGAAATATATTTCTTTATTGCAGATTTCCAAAAACTTGAGCGTGAAGCGCGAATATGTAGAAAACTGCAGCATCCAAATATTGGTAAGTCACCGTTTTCATTAATTTTATGCTCATTTTATGCACCGAATTTAATCGCAACACATAAGATAATACATATAGAAGAAATTATAATTCAGCATTTACATTTGCGTAATCTAATTTTACGCTGCTTATCTCAATTAAGGAATAATTAAATTTAATTACTAATCGATATTAATGGCGAGTGTCTTAGAACTTAATCCTAGGAGTAGGTAGATGTTTCGAGGCGAAATGATGAATGATCTGTACGTGACACGATCACATTGTACGTGGCAGACAGCGCAAGTAGATACCGCACGCTTTAGTCAGACGTGCAGCCTCTGCAATCACTGCTTATCTCTCATGATAAATTACAACGATCGCGTATTAAAATTTAATATTTTCATCACGGCAAAGCATTTAATAAAACATTATGATTAAAAAAAATAATTGATATTTATATTACTTAAAATTTAATCTAAATCATTATTCAAGTTTTGTGACATTCCAAATTTTGCAATATTAACATTTTTGTCGAGCGATACTTATATACTCGTATATTATTGAATTGCCATTTGTGATTTTTTAAATACATTTTTTTATAACAATCGTGTTGCATTATATCGATAAATATCACAAATTGAAGGCAAATAATATGCAATATGGAATTCAATGAAGCAAGAGAGACAGAGAGAGAGAGAGAGAGAGAGAGAGAAAAGCAAAATGACTAATAAAGAATTATTACTTCACTTTTACATTTTGATGTTCTCAATATTTTTTATTCTTTAATGTAATAACAATTTTATTAAATATTTAATCGAGTAAATGGTTTTTGAAATGCAAAAGTGCTTGCATGTGTTCTTTCACGAAGTCGTGACAGATTTCTCGGGCAAATATTTGTTCCGTCTTTATTCTAATATGCAAAGTTTGCGCGCTGTCTTTTTCCGGACTTTTGCGGACATGTTATGTGCTCATACGTGAAGAGATGTCGATCGATCAATGTGTGGCCAAGTGGCAGAAAATATCTGTGCCCCTGGACGGAATAGAGTACGAAAGACAGAGATAGCGGATAGATTGCATTTGGGATTATGAGATCTAAATGCATATTCTCAACCGTTAAGCCGTAGGAGCTCTCGTTAACCATCTCTTACAGACTCAAATTTCTCGACTAAACTCGGTTAGAAAACCGCGAGAATTTCTCATTTTTTTATCCTGCTAAAATGTATTACACGATACGCATTAATTTCCGCATGGAGACATGTGAAAAAGGAAAAATTTCGTCAGAAACTATTTAATCGATCAGTATTGTATAAAAATTTATTGCCATAAAAATTAATTTCTGCGCGTTGCATTTAATTTTATAAATGTTCTTTGCACACCTTTTATTCGCAGATCTTTAATTCTCTGTTGATACTAAAGATATTGTCAAGTTAATATTGTGAGCTAAATTGTCGTAATAAGCATAGCGCCAAACACACATTTGTTATGAAAATATTGAGTCTAATCTTGAATCGCACTTGATTTATGTATTATTAATAATTGATAAGAGACCCATCTTTATTCGCTGCTCACGCTTTTACTTACAAGTGGTGCGTGACTTGATTTGTATTTTGCAAATGTCGACTTGAAAAATGTCCGCTTTACGTAATAATTCAATACAAGATTTCTAAGCTCTTGATAAATAAAGCGATATTTAAATGGCGTTTCAAAATAATGGAAAAAATTAAACACCGTTCCAGTATATTGTTCCACTATCATGAATAAACCGTGCACACAATGTTGCATGTATGGCGTAATCTAGATAAAGTCTAGATAAAATGTAAATCGCATCCCGTTCTGCCGCGTATTTGACATACATATATGGTATATGTACCTATGTATCCAAGTGCAATTAATCTCATGCCCCGTCATTATATTCTCGACTGTGGAATTATTGATCGTTTTTGCAGGAATTTTGTTACAATTTTGTTATTATGTTTTACTACACATTAAGTATATTAAATGCTTAATGAGTCATTCGTCTCGCTTGATTATTTAATACGATTTATTAAATTACGTTGATTATTACCGGAACGTTTATCGATCATACACTTGAAGTTACTACTTTACTAATTTTTATAATGAAGACGCGTTCTTAGATAACTGAATAATTTGTGCAAAAACGACCAAGAACTCAGAGTTGTTTCACTTTCTACAGTTTATCTAAAGTATTTGCAATTTTGCAGATTATTTTGCTCTAAAACATTTTTTAGAGCAATAATCTTCCAGACTACGATAAGTTTGACAAGTTATTCTTTAAAGGCTAATTGCAAGTGATATTTTAAAAGATGTTTTAAATAACTCAACTTGAAGCTATATTCTCTCTATATGCTTGTAGAGTCTTTGCTGCGTAGATAGAGTAGAAACGCGAATTAGATTTGACACGCTTCTGCAGCTCACGGAGGCTTCCGTGTAATTTGATTTTCCGCGGATTACACGACGGCGTCTTAATAAGACGTCGTTGAAAAATGTCACGGCGATCAATCTAGATTATAATGGTAAAGGTGGTTTACCATTCGAAACTGTAAGTTTCAAATTTTAATGAGCACACTGAAACATGAGTAGAATGAATGTGAGATTGAAAATTTTTTGTCAGTGACGATTATTTTACTATGATTATTTCACTATGATTAAACTTGAGTATTTGTTCTTCGACCAGTTTGGACACAACTTTTCTTTCAAAAGAATCTTTAATTAAACACTATTTTTCTTTTGCAAATTTTGGAATTTTTATTGTTAGATATCGCGGTAAGGAAATTTCAAGTTGCGGTTTGCTCATAGAGTGGAGAGTACACTTGAAATTAGCTAAAGAACAAAGTTCCATTGCCTATTTGCATTTTAAGCTCAAGTTTGCTGGAATATTTTAATGTTCAATGTTCGGTAAATGTGCATCTTAGGTTATACATCTCAACGATTTTGTCGCCATTTAAATGTGTTGTAAGGAAGGCTGCTCTGAGTAATTGCCCGCAAAAATCAAGTGGAGAACGGCATTGGTTTAAGAGATATAACAAATTGAAATTTAATGCTTATTTAGGCTTATTAAAGTTGTAAACAAATTCTTTTAATCAAATAATAACAGATTATTCACTTGACTGTTTGTAATATCAGTTTGTAACACCAAAAGAAGAGCATTAAAATTGTGAAATTTTTTAAATTTGTTACATCTCCTAAACCAATGCCATTCCCTACTTAATTTTTAACGGGGAATTATTCGGAACAACCTCCCCTACAACACATCTAAAAATGACGACAAAATCGGTGAGGTGTAACCTAAAATGCATATGTACCTAATGTTCAATAACCTTGTATATCTATGTTCAAGTTTACGTTCTCGCAGCGAAAAATAAAACTCCAAATTTGCTGAAAGATACGTCGCTGGAGTTTAAAAGACAGACTTTACTCTCTAATATCTTTTATGTAGGTATACTTTTCATGTTTTACACATTTTACCTTTCACTTTTCTGTTATAGCATCGAAAGGTTAAAGTTATAAATAAAGTTATGGTATTAAACGCGATTAGCGCGCGGTAATGCAGAGACTATTATAACTAATTTAGAGGCACATGCACGCGCAACGATTACATAAATATAAAAAGGAAGACGGAAATTGTAATTGTACCACTAATTTCTCAAGTTGACGAAATCAATCTTGTTAATCTTTCTGTGGCGTTATTATAATTAAGCACTACTTGTGCCGCCAAAGTCACAACGAAGCGCAAATGGAATGGTTTGCATTTATTACGATTTTATTGCAATGTTTGTTTCACATTTAACAAGGTTAGGTTCTGGATACGAATGGACAAAGTGCAGTGCATCGATCATGTTCTTCTGTGTTACGCTGGTCGAACACGCGCTATCTTCGATCGCGATTCTCACGTAATCTCTTTCAAGTATGTATAACGTATCGCGCGAACGCATGTCGCGCAGGCAAATGCAAGCCTGTGCCTGTGCCGCGCTGTTACAACGTTAATTTAGACGACCCCGATTAATCCGGTACGGCTTCGCTACCCACCTGAAACAATAACAACGATCGCTCCCGCGGGAATGAGGAGAGCGTAGCTTGCCTTGCTCGTTTGCCGGGCACACGGGAGTTTAGTACTGGTTTTCTATTATACGACCACTTCCGCAATTGCGCTTGCCTCAGGCGTTCGACTCGCGTGTAAGTGGGCAATTTGCAGATATACGAGAATGATCGTAGAAAATTTATGGCCAATAAAAACATATCGATCTCATAGTACAGTAACATGAAACGCGTGTTAACGCTGACCGCGCGTCGAATGCCCACAACAATTGTATTTTTATCGTTAGTAGTTTCGTTGCGACGATACTCCCGGAAATGGGAGTACATACATTAATGGGGATAATAGGAAAAGTCACGATTGCAAAATTATCAATAGCGCAGTCTTACGCATACATTTACATTTTTATTTTACGTATGTTGTAATGAGAAATTTATCGCAAATACTCTTAGCAACGTTGTGGCACGTTCATCTGCCACACGTTGCAAGTTGTTAATGTATTTGCAGGTGAATTGAAATTAATTTCTTGGTTAAATAGATCAAGTTGTTTTTCGAGAAGAAAATCGCTTGAATTAACTGGTTAAATTATTATCGCCTTTATTATTAATTAGTTGTATTACTTAGCGCAGACTGAATTGGTTTACTAACAATCTCGTTGAACCTTGATCTTTTGCGACGTACTTGATTAAGCGACCCCTGATCATGCGTATATCCGATTGAAAGTCTCATCGTGTCAGACTCGATCTACAGTCGACTAATTTAGTCTCGACAGTTCAAATCGAACGCCCGGTTTAAATAGACGCTTCATTCCAACGGAAAATGCGTTGATAATTACTACCGTCTCACTCGTGCTCTCGTAAGTTTGCTGAAACGGCGCGATGGGCGCCGTGCTTGAATCCTTCGCCTTACTAATGACGGCAGTGCTGCTAATTGATATAAATGCGACTCGGTGCGCCGATTATTACGG